TTTACCGAATTAAGCAAACAGTTAAAGATAAGCGAATTAACGGATTAAGCAAACGGTAACACGCAAACAAAGTTAGGGAATATAAATCAATCGAACCAAACAAGCCTATTCTATGACAATCGAATTAAGCAAATGATAAACATACAATAGAATTGAAAGGAATAGAAATTGAATTGCAAAAATTATATTAATCTCAAGAAGGAACCTGAATCAGTAGATACAACCAAAAAGATTAGTTCGCCATGGAATCGTGAAAGCTCTCAATTTTTTTATGAATAATTTTTATATTGTGTCCTATGAAAATTAACCGTGTTTCCCATAAAAAGAAAAATAAGTTCATAACCCAACTGGGTCGAAAACATCACCCAGACCCATTACAAATGACCCAAACACTAAAATAAACTAATGCTGTAACTTGCACGAATTTTCTGGGAAAGTGTGCTCCGAATTTGACTTCGACGCCAACACGAAAGTCATAGCTCTCTCTCTTAGCTTTCCGGAAAATTTTAGAACGCCTCAATCGGATACTCCAAGCTCAAGTTATGATTTTTCTCGCGAAAGCTGCTAAAGCTGAAAAATAAATACGTAAAATAAATAAATGCAAAAATAAAATAAAATATAAAAACATAATAAAATATAAAAATAATTAAAATAAAATAAAGAAATGCCTAAGTAAAAATATAGGAGAATGTGCATAAAAATGCACTGATCAGCCATTATCTGTGAATGCCAAGAGTTTTGAACAACCTTCATTCTTTGTGTAGAAAATGCCTAGCTCAGTTATCCCTTTTAAATACCTCAAAATTCTTTTGGCTGTCAACCAATGTGACATGGTTGGTCTAGACATGTACCTGCTTATGAGACTTACACTATACATTAAGTCAGGACGAGTTATAGTTAAATACATGAGACTTCCAACCATTTGTTTGAACAATGTTGCATAAACTTTAGTTCTTCCTTCATCCTTTGACAACTTTGTTCCCGGTACAATTGGATTTTTCACACTATTGCTATTTTCCATTTCAAATCTTGCTAACACTTCTCGTGCATACCTTCTTTGACAAATAAAAATACCATTTGAATTTTGCAGCACTTCCATTTCAAGGAAGTGTCTCATTCTTCCTAAGTCGTACATATCAAACTCTATCATCATTGACTTTTTTAATTCCATACACATGCTCACATCACTTCCAGTAAATATTAAGTCATCTACATAAAGGCTAATTATTTATAAAATTTTACCTCCTTTTGACTTGGTGAACAAAGTATGCTCACTCGAACATTTCTCGAAGCCTTCACGCAGAAAGTAAGCCTCAATTTTGTTGTACCACGCCCTTGGCGCTTGCTTAAGGCCATATAGAGCCTTTTTTAGCTTATAAAACTTCCCTTCTTCTCCCTTCTTAACAAACCCTTCAGGTTGTTGTACAAATACTTCCTCCTTGAGTTCACCATGAAGGAAAGCGCTCTTTACGTCAAGCTGAAAAACCTCCCAGCCACACTGTGCTGCTACTGCAAGTATTGTTCGAATGGTATCGAGCCTTGCCACTGGTGCAAATACTTCGGTGTAATCAACTCCATACTGTTGTGCATAACCCTTAGCAACCAATCTCGCTTTATGTTTCTCGACATCCCCATTTTCATTAAGTTTGGTCTTAAAGACCCACCTAACTCCAATAGGTTTGGCATCCTTAGGCAAATCCATCGATTCCCATGTTTGGTTCTTCTCTATAGCTTTCATTTCTTCTTCCATAGTCTCTTTCCACTTCTTGCCTTTGACTGCCTCTGCAAATGAAAATGGATCATTCTCTGTTACCATCATCATTGCATGCATATCTTCTTCTTCTTCTTCTGAGAAACCTTCTCCTGTTTCATAGTCTGCCATCCATACCGGTTTTGTTCTTCTCTATAATTTTTGTGTTTTTTTAGTACTAGTTTATATATTGTTATTGAACTCAATGACATTGCATTTCATTTAAGATTATTGATTTACTTAATTTGCAATTTTGTGCTATAAATATTAGTTTCCTTATTTAAAAATTAATGAATGAGTTTGTGTTGACGGACTCAGATTCATATAGTACTATTTAAAAATTAATTAATGAATGAGTTTCTGTTCACGAACTCAGATAATTAATTTCCTTAATCTTATTTTTTATATTAACTTGGTTTATTGTAGCTTACGTTTACTTGATTTTCTTGAATGATAAAATATTGAAAATCTAAATAAAATGGATCCTAAAAAGGTTTTTATTAGAGTGTTTGACGAGATTGGGGGTCTTGCTCCTACGTATCCTCAGGTTCAATGAGGAATTCAAAGCAACTTAGTTTGCATAGAAAAATATGTATTTATTGGTTGATTTTATTGAACAATCGTTTAGATCGCGCTCTAGTGGTTAAACGTTGCTAGTGCTCGCGATTGGAGGCTTAAAGTGTTTGTTTGTATCGCGGTAGAACGAACTAAACAATGTTCTTTTTTGAAAAGGTTTTCCATCGCACTATGGAGAGAAAATAGGTTTGATTTGTTGAATTATTTTTTAGGAGGACAAAAAATGTTCGAGCAATATGGCATATGCCAATGACTAGGGATGGCAAAAAAGCCCGTGCCTGCGGGTATCCGCGGATATAATCCGTCACGGATACAATGTGGATAGCTTAATGGATATCCATGGATAAAATAAATGGATATTTAAATATCCGTTATTTAATGGATGTGGATGCGGGTTTAATGATACTCGTACCCGCGGATATCCATACCCGTTAATAAATTATAAAAAGTATTTAAATATTTTTAATTTATTATAGACGTCATTACATCTTCCAAGAAAATTAGTCTTTTCATATTTCTTTTTTTTAACGTTTTCTTGGAAGAAAAAGAAAACCTTTCACATTCCAAGAAAAATCATATTTATTCATTTTATATTTATTTAGGCTTCTTCTATATTTTAGACCTAACATCTCTTTCACTTTCACAATTCCACTGTCCAACTCCAACCCAAAGAATCAGTACCGTATTTTCTCTATCCAACACTGCAACTCAGAGTCCTAATTTCCTAAATGACTAAGGTAATCTATCTACCTTATTATAATACAAAATACTAAACCCTAAACTAGTAAAAAGAAGAAGCACTATATACATTCTTTTTCGTTTCATTGATATAAAAATGATATTCATGTGTGCCTATTCTTTCCATCTATAGGTTCTTTTATTTATTGCTATATTCATGTGTTATTAATATATGCAATGAAATATAATCATACTATATCAAGTAAATGATAATTTTTTCTCATTATAGGTTTTCTCATATCTACGTTATGCATCTTTATAGGTTTCTTTGTTTTTTTATTTTAATGTAAACGTTTCACCATTATTATAATATTAATATTGTTATAGTTAATGCTTTTTAATTATTAATTTATATTTTTATTTGCTAATTATTCATTATCTCTTAGTTTTTTTTCCGGTTCAAGTTTATCGTTGATGATTTGGACCACAATTGTTATACAGTATTGAATATTGATATTGATATTAAAACTATCACATTAATACAGTATTGACAAATTTATCTTTTTTTTTTTTGTAGAATGTCTTTTGAACAAACCTTTACTCCTATAGGAGTTATGCAAGAGAATTTGGCAGTCTCAAACGCAGATGAGTCTAACGTTGTTGCTTCAAATGGTCCGAAAATTAATTCAACTCCTAATGAAATTGAAAGTCCTATTTCATGTGAAGTTGACACTGAAGGTCTTAAAAGAAAGCTATCTTCTGAAGTTTGGAACCATTTCAAAAGGAAAAAAATAGATGGAAAGTTGAAGGCCATTTGTAACTATTGTGGTGCAAAACTCTTGGGTGTTCCAAAACAAGGAACGTCACACTTAAAATCATACATTAAGTCTTGTCCACGTCGAACAAATCGAGATATAAAGCTTTGATAAAAACTGAACAAGTTGATGGTCAAACTGTAATGGTAGGTTCTTATGCGTTTAACCAAGGCATAGCAAGGTGTGGTGTTGCTAAGATGATAATTCTTCATGAGTATCCTCTAGCAATGGTTGAACACATTGGTTTTAGAGAATTTTGTGCTTCTATGCAACCTCTATTTAAGGTGGTTTCTCGTAACACTATCAAGAATGACATCATGAAAATTTATAACGATGAGAAAGAGAATACCATGAAGTTGTTGTCAAAGAATCAAAGTCGTATTGCAATCACCAGTGATATGTGGACTTCAAGTAACCAGAATAAAGGCTATATGACAGTTACAGCTCACTTTATTGATGATTCATAGACCCTTCAAAGTTGACTTGTAAGGTAATAACAGTAAATTATTTTGATTTTTTTTGTGTATAATGTTAGTAATATTGTTCTTGAAAATTTAATTTATGTTAAGTTCATTTATGTGCCTGCTCCTCATACTAGCAAAACTCTAGTTGATACCTTGATTCAATCTTTGACGGATTGGAACCTAGATACAAAGTTGTCCACAATGACTGTTGATAATTGTTCTACGAATGATGCTATGATTGAACGCATTTTAAATAAGATTACACCTAGGTCATTGATATTGGGTGGAAAATTGTTTCACATGCGGTGTTCTGCATATATATTGAATTTAATTGTGAAAGAGGGTTTATCCATAATCTCTAGTGCCATTGAGAATATTAGAGAAAGTGTTGCCTTTTGGACAGCAACCCCTAAAAGAGAGGAGAAATTCATAGAGACATGTGGTCAAGTGAACATTTCTTCTGATAAAAATTTGGTTCAAGATTGCAGATATAGGTGGAATTCTACATTCTTAATGCTTAATGTTGCCATATAATATAAAGATGTGTTTGGTCGATTGGAAAAACGAGATACTCAATATAAAACCTTGCCTAGTGAAAATGAATGGATGAAAGCAAAAGAAAGTTGTGAAAGGTTGAAAGTTTTTTATGATGTTACACAACTATTTTCTGGTACCAAGTATCCAACTGCAAATGTTTATTTTCCCAAAGTATGTGAAATGAAATTGGCTTTAGTTGAATGGCTTGGTTCTACTGATTGTGTCATTAAAGACATGGCTTCAAGTATGCTTTCTAAGTTTGACAAATATTGGAAGGTGGTCAATGGAGTGATGGCAATAGGCATTGTGTTAGATCCAAGGTACAAAGTTGATTTGTTAGATTACTTTTTTCCTCTAATTTATGGAGATGAAGTTGATAATGAAATTGAGAAGGTAAAATCTTTGTTTCAAAATATGGTAATTGAGTATAATTTGAAAATAAAGGAGAAAGAGAATGTTTCTTCATCCTCAAATCAAACTCAAATTGTGTCTGATGCAATTGTTGTTGGCAAAAAAGAAGCTTGGAGGTCTAATTTTGCAAAACATGTCAGTGCAAAAAAAAGTGTCACGTCTAGTAGGTCAGAATTTGACGGATATATAGAGGAGAAAGTGTTACCGGATGATAAAAATTTTGACATCTTAGGTTGGTGGTAGGTTAGTGGATTAAAATATCCAATCTTACAAATGATTGCAAGGGACTTCTTAGCAATTCCTATTTCAACGGTTGCTTCCGAGTCTTCTTTTAGCACAAGTGGTCGGATTCTTACTCCTCATCATAGTAGATTGCGTTCGGATACTTTAGAGGCATTGATGTGTGTCCAAGATTGGCTATGGACTGATGTGAAAGGTAATCAATTTTATAACATGTTTTTATTACAGTGATTAATTATAATAAATTATTATTTGACATATTTTTATTACAGTGATTAATTATAATAAATTATTATTTGACATATTCTTATTTCTTTTCAGGTTATACCAAATCAAAAGTTGAGGTTATTGAAATTAATTCAGTATTGGAAGATATGGATGCTGACATTATTAGTGAATGAAATTATTAGTGTATCTTATAAGATTTGGTTACAAATATCACTGTTATTTTGGATATTTTATTTGGAATCTTTTAAGCTTTTAATTTAGGAGCTAGGAAACCAAAGTATGAATCTTAAGCAAGGAATGCATAATATGGAATTTTGTAATGATTGATGAAAACTATTTTCATTATTACTTTTTGTTTTATTTAAACAATTATTATATGGTATGATGAATTTTATTTTGTTAAAAATGAAATGTATGGATATTATGTTTGAATGTTATTATGTTTTAGTGAAAAAAGAATGAAAATAATATGATGAAGTTTAGTTGTTAAATTGAGAGCGAAAAAATATATTTTTAAAAAATAATTTTAGACAAAAAAAGTTATTCATGGATATCTGTAAATATCCGCGGATACCTTAAAACCTGTGGATTACCGCTTAACTGATATCCGCATGGATATGGAGCAAATACGGATATCATATTTATCCAACGGGGCAGACACGAATATCATACTATCCGCCCCCATGGATATCCATTTACATCCCTACCAATGACTCACTTATTCGAGGTGCAGAAAGATGTGCATCTCCCATTCATTTTTTTTGTCAAATTCAGACTTTTGTAGATTATTTGTAGAAGACGATTATTCTTAGTAGTGAGGTGTGTGCCTCCCACTTAATTATTCGAAGAGCAGAAGGATGTACATCTCCCATTATTTTTCCATGTTTGATTTAGAGTGTCTTTATCAGAAGACGAGAGTTCGAACAATATGACGTGCGTCAATCATTCACTTATTCGGGAAAGATAAGGATGTGCACACTCATTCCTTTTTCAACTGAGTTTAATTGTAAAAAGATAATAGGTATTTAATTTGATTATGAAAGTACACTTGATAAGGATCGATGTTTAATTCTCATGGACTTGAAATTAATCAAAAGAAACTAGTTTTGAAAAATTACTGCTTGACGTTGGATCAAGGGTTTTAACGTGTTTGAAATTTATTATTATTTATTTAAAAATGAATAAAATAAATATAAAAAATAATAGAATGAGGGGTGTCATAAAATAGGGTGGAGATATGAGCTTAGCAAAAAAATGATAGTAAAAAAGAGTGGCCAAAGGCTCAATTCAACTAAACAAACAATAAATAAAAAAGAGTGGCCAAAGGCTTAATTCAACAAAACAAATAAATAATAGTGATAAAATATAAAGGTGTGTTGTATTTGAGGCCCATGAGGAGGCCCAAAGTTGTGCAGTCAACCTCCAAAGGTTGACTCCATCCCCACCGTTGGACGTGCGTCAGCGACCAAGATTAAAGCAGCATGGTGTACTCACGTGAGGGATCCTCTATAGGATCCCCTCTCGCTACTGGCCATCCACACGACGACATAAGGTGCGTAGACTAAACATCATAAAATAATAGAAGTCCCAGATTGATCCAACGACTAGGATCAAATTTAACATTTGTTCATTTCCTCCCAACAATGTTCATCATTTTTAATAACTTCTCATTTATATAAAATTTGAAAATCACTAAATCAATGAATTAAATTACAAATTGTATACCGTTGGGCTCAGAATTTCGCAACGAGTCCAAATATACAATCAAAATTAGAAAACAAGCTACGAATTGGAAGAATCGAAGCTAAAAAGTGGCACCCAACCATGAGGAAAATCCTTCGATCTGACCAAAATACACATTCAAACGTAAAACTAATTACATATTAGTGATCAGTGCACAAAAATAGTTCAAATGGTATATAAGTTTGCACAACATAGTTGAGATTCATGATTTTTCCATTTTTGTGTTCTTGAGTTCATGAGAACTTTTGAACCAATTTTTTTGAAAATTCAATTTAAATGTGTTTTCATGCAACTAATTATTGAAATAAGTTTCTTAAACATCTATAAACATCATAACACACAAAAAACACACAAAAATTGAAGATTAGGCTTACTTGAATGAAAACCTCAAGAACTTACCAGCAATAATGATGGAAACGGTGACTCTCTAATCACACTCCGATGAAGGTCCAAACAAGCTTCAAGTTCATAAATATTTGTAGATTTAGAATCCTCTAAACGTCCTCTACTCAAATTCAAGATCCAAGAAATTTCAAAAATCAAGCTTAAAATTGAGCTAAACCTTTGATCTTGATTTGAACTATTTTGGTTGCTGATTTGTGTAGGTAATGGCTATGTAAATTAAATGCAATGAAAGTGAAAACACAATTACTCAAGAACTCAAAAGAATTAATGAAAATTCAAAGTTTCTTAAAAGTGAAGAAACTTAAATTTTGGGAATTCAAATTGGTAGAGTTTTGGTAATTGTAATAGTGAGTTGTGGATAATTTTCTGATGTGAAAATGCACTATTATATAGAGTTAGAATTAGATTAAGAGTTAAGCTTGAGATTTTGCAAAAATAAGAAAAGTGTGATTGCATTTCACTTGAATTTGATAGAATTTGTGGGAAATTTGAATTTGATGCAAAATATTTGATGTAATGCACTCTAAATTATTGATACATTGTGAATTTAGTGCGAATTTGAAGGTGTGTTAGGTGCATGAGTGGTTTGGTAAAACAAGTGTGATTTATTTTTTATTTAGTGCAAAAATCTTGACTTTTTGTTTAGTTTTTTTTATTTATGATGCATGTAAATAATTAATAAAAATGAATAAAGAAATATGCAAATTTAGCCAATTTTCTCACATGTGCGATGTTGCCTTTTCTTTGACTTTTTCTTATGATGTGTGATAATGACTAATGAAACTCCAAATAGAATAAAGTGATGATGATTTAAATTATTATTGTAACAATGAACCATGATGCATGAATTTTAGTCAAATTTCCTAACACATGTAAGTGTTGACTTTATGTTGACTTTTTACATATGAATGCTTATGGGACTCTATGACCAAATGAAATCATACGCAAATAAATTTAAATGCAACTAAAAAAATGAAAATCGAGAGGGTGAACTGCTACAGTTTTCATACATTCAGAATAGAAGTCAATTAGATACGAAAAGTCCCCAAAATTTTATTTTTAATTAAAAGATTAAAAAAATCGAATTTGTGAAAGATTAACCTGATAAGGGATATGATGGGACTACCTTCATATTCTACTTAGGGTTCCACCTTCAATGATGAATTTATGCAAAGAAATTACATTTGACTGGTTTTTTGAGACTTAACAAAGACTACTTTTGATTTCTAAACGTCGAAAATTTCTAATTTCCACCTTTTCTAATTTTGAATATCAGCATTAAGGTATATTTGGTATATTTATTTACTAGTTTTTTATTTGTTTGGATATGAACAATCATTCAATACTTTTTTAAAAAATTATTTTATTCAAGTGGTGTGCATATATTAATCTTGAAGTTTCTTTAAGAAATTCAAATTTCCAGCATTTCTGATTTTGAATATAATCATTAACATATATATATATATATATATATATATATATATATATATATATATATATATATATATATATATATATATATATATATATATATATATATATATATATATATATATATATATATATATATATATATATATATATATATATATATATATATATATATATATATATAGTATATTTATTGACTAGTATTTTTACGTGTTTGGATATGAACAATTATTCACTACCCAAATTTTATTTTATTCAGGTTGTGTGTGTCACGTCTTAAGAAATACGACCTTGCAAGTGTGTTGCATTCTCGCGGATGACTAATAGAGTCACCACCGAATTTTACTTATCCCAAAAGAGGATAGGAAAAATATTGATAAAACCCCTAAAATAAAGACAAAGATATGGTTGTCGCATTTAAATTGGGTTTGGGAGTCAATTATGCGAGTGAAAGGTATTAGCACCCTTCGCATCTGTTGCATTCAACGGGAACATGTCATACCCCAAATTTGTCCTACCTTTTTCATTTTCATTTTTCTGGCTTGATTTTTTTTAATTTTCATCACTTGTACAGTATAACGTATTTTTTCTCAGCATGAATAAATTCTAAAATTATTAGTCATAATAAATTTCTTGGATATGCATACGGACTGGTCGGATTGTATCTCAAATATAACGTATTTAACTTCAACTAGTTTAAATGATCAGCCAGAGTTGTCTTCCTAGGATGCATTGGTACACAGATAGGCACTTTATGACTAGGAAACAGACTTTAACTTGTCTGGCAGTTTCCTCGGCGCCGAAGGTGACGATCAGCTCAACATAGTTTCATGGCTTAGTAGTTATGTCATTGAAGTCTTGACGGTCAGAGCTTACATACGGTGCCAAATGTCTCTCGTCGAGTTGAAGAGTGGTGACCTTCTTCGACGCGGAGCTGGGTTAAGCTGTGTCCGGCGGTGGGACAACCTCAGGGCCAATTCAAAACACATAATAATAATTGATGTTAATTTTTATTATTTTTGTTCTTCCCATTCTACAATTTTTTTTAATTTCATCAAAACAGCCGTTTCCAAAAATATAGTTACAAATTAGTTCTAAAGTTTTGGTACGTGTTACAAATATATTTTCGAAATTTAAAAACATATATGATGTTTCACTAAAGTGTATGAGCACCATTGAGGTAATTGAATGTTGAA